AACGACTAATTTTCAGTTTAGTTGTGTTTTTCAAGTTGATGAACATTGAACGATTCATATATGTGAGTCAAGTGTACAATGTACAAGAACTTACGTGTACTATTATTCTATTCTTTTTATATAGAAGTATAAGATGACGAACACATTAATCGTTTCCGTTCATCCGATTGCCCAATTTCAAGAGAGTTACGCTTGTCAAAGATGTTCGACTTCAAGTCTAGTGAAATCACGAATGGACACATTTTAATTAACGATACTTTTTGTTGTCACTACTTATTGGTGTAATAATGTGTCACCAAACATTTGCTACGTTGTCAACGTATCATTTTTTATGTGCTTGAATTCTCTAAATAAATTTGATTTAGTTCATAGTTTCACGGTGCATAGAGATGCCATACAGTTGTAATTACAGAAAATGATTTGGAAACTTCTTGAAAAATTGTCGGCATTATGTGAGATGACTTGAATCGATATAGCGACAAACGAATAGAAATCAAACAACCTTTTCGTTGGTTGCGTGTCTTTGTTGAGACTTAAAAGCATTTTTAACCGTTTGTCTGTAATGTGGGGTCTATATGACCCCAGATACTCTAAATTCGCTATAACATTTTAATTTCAAGTTGTATGATGTTATAATTTATTGACATCTTCAATCTAGTAGAAACACGCATTTTGAGCACTTATTTGTCAAAATCGGTTCATAAAAACCCGAGATATCCTGACTTGAAGAGAAAACTTACAAATGCTGTAAGATGGGGTCATATGGACCCCAAATTAAAGTGCCCATATTATTGCTAAAATCTTATTTTATCTCATTAAATCAAGAAAATTTTTAACATTTAAAGTTTCATCTTCATTTTTAGCCATGTTTTGTTCAGATACGACAAGTAGTTTCATTGTTTTGATCATTTCAAAATGGCACCCAAATTGATGAAATTCCAGTTTCCATCGAATTATTACATCTTATTCGTCCAAATTTTTCCATGTATAGCTCACATCAACTCGATATTATACTTATTTTATTCCTTTTGATACGCCCTTTCAAAAAACATAAACTTTTTTCACGAATATGAATTCGATTTTTTGAAGATGAAGCAAAATAACGTCATAAATGTGTATCTGCCAAATGATTCAAGATGGCGGACTAGTACGATGTTTTTAAAATCATCATGTCTAAGTAATTTTTGGGGCAATATTGACAAAAATAGGCTTAAAAGATGAAGAATGCCTTGAATTATTGGATCAAAACAATATTTTTAAGAAAAAAATTATTTTTGTTCCATTTTTATCGATTGTCTGTTGGGGTCGATATGACCCCACATTACAGCATTTGTAACTTTCGACTTATTACAGACAAACGGTTAAATTACAATTTTCGTTCCCTTATATGGTTTTACACGTATTTACAAACGTGTTTGAAATACGCGCACGTTGTCAGTGTCAAATTGATAGTACCACTGTATAACATCATTTCAGTGTTTGAGGAAGCAGAACATAGGCTTTTCGGACTTTTCTACGTGCATTCAATATGAAATGAAGTTTCAAAAAATAATTCTATTTTCATCGATTGAAAACACTACAGTGAGTTAGTTTATAATTACAGACAGAAGTGAGAAAAACCGTCGACATTCTAATACAAATTCTGTACAAATGGAGAATTTTATTAAAATTGTGTCTGTCATTATAAACTAACTCACTTTTCTTCATTATTGATGTATCAATCTATATTAAACTGAGCTAGACCACTGTGTGAATCTATTCTGTCATCTTCGACAGATAGTGTTGGCCGTTCGAAAACATAAAAAAATTGTTTTTTTCGTTCGGAAATTATTACTCTACTTTCAGTCTTGGCCAAAGAAGAAGATATTTTGACCTCTTTGGGTAAAACTGAAAGTAGCGTAATAATTTCCGATCGAACGAACACAAAATTTTCTTTAAAATTTTCGAACGAACGAAAGAACAAATTGAATTGTTTGAATCATGTCAAACGAACGAACGAACGAAGCCAACACTATCGACAGAACAAATGTAAATGTAAGCGTAAAACATTAGCTGACGAAAAATCGAAAATCGATATGTTTATGCTACTTACTGCTCCAAGACCTTTCCGAAGATGCATGGGTTAGTCAGATTGGACGACCAGCAATATTGGGTTCGATGCTGTTTATGTTGCTCGTATTACATAGATGAAAACCCTCCAAGGCGGTTGATTGTTTCCCAAGATTGGTTGACCTCTTTCGGGTAAAAATATTGAACATCAATTTTTTCGATAGTTCAGCACTACCATTTTTTGTTCGAGAGGTACCTCAAAAAATCACTTTTATGAGCTGTAGACTGGTATCTCCCAATATTTTCACAGAAAAAAACTTTTTACTAAGTTACCTACCCAAAAAAGTGATTTTTTGAGGTACCTCTCGAACAAAAAATGATAATTTTATAACAAAATCCATAAAAATCGTCACTTTTGTTCGACAAGTACCTCAAAAAATCACTTTTTGGAGTTTTTGTCTGAGAAGACTGCCCATATTTTTGAGAAAAAATAACTTTCCACCAAGACACCAACCATGAAATGTGGATACTTGGAATTTTTTCTAACAAAATCCGATTTTTCAAGATCTGAAATTGAACCAACCCAATATGAGCCCAGAAATATATGAACACATCACTTGATCTGGTCATATGGGCACTCAAAATGTTTGTAAGGGATCACACTAGAAGTTAAAAGGCAGCAAAGGTAAAAATTGTTTGCTCAGTGGGGTAATATCACTGTTAAACCGAAGCTCATGGACGTAATTTTCTCATTTTGCTTAAAATAGACGCAGTTTACGACACAAAAATCACATAAATCTATACAAATGAAACCGGAAATCAATTCTACGTCAAAAATTAAGTAGAAATAGCTCTTCAGACGTTTCAAATTTGAATAAAACTGGACTAGTTCAGCTATATGTAGCGTAAAATGGCGACTTTTTGGCCATTTTTCAGTATATTTGAGCCATTCAAGCCACAAAACCAAACATTTATGTATGTTTGATGACCGGATTTTTATTCCTCGTCAAAAATTAGACAAAATAAAGTCGTTTTCAGGTATGTATTTGCATAATATTGGGAGTCTGGAGAGGCATTTTTGCGAAAAAGTCATTAAAAAACGGCTATTTTGAACAATTTTGACCTGTGCCGACCTCAAAATCGTGGAAAAGTATTTCTAAACCAACTTTTTGTTAGGTAATTTTTCACGATAAATCCAAATATGCTGGCCAAAGTGAACTTAAAGTGGCTATTTCTTGCGATATTTCAACAAGTTCTCCATGAAAATGAGCAAAAAACGCAATTTTTTAAAAATTGTAGCGCAAAGTGGGACTAAACTTTTCGGCATATGTCCCAGTACAAAAGTTACTTCTTTTTAGGTGCTGAATCGATTCCACACCCGACGTTTTGAAATCCTCTGCAAAATCAAAATCGCTCCACCCTAATATGTATTGAGTTTATTTTGTATATTATTTGTATACACTTCAAAATTAGTTATGTGAAATATTATATCTTTATATGTGATTTCAAAATACTCATGTTTAGTTACTCGAAATCAAGCGAAAAAACGATCAAAAAAGAAATTGGTGTTATTCGAAAAAAGATGAAGTGACTTTTATGAGTAATCAATTGTAATTATCAGTAAAAAAAAGTGCACATTTTAAATTATATCGATTTTATCCACAGCAATCTGACGCAAAAAAAAGATGATTAATAAGAAGGTCATCGGTTGAGATGCTCAAAATGATTGAGTTTTTGAAGGTCGAGGCTCTACCAAACTAAAACTTAATTACAATTTTAATGACTGCGTTTTTAAAATACAAATGATTTTTGAATAAAGATTCAATGTAAAACAGTGATACATCTTTAATTTAATAAGAGACACATTTTTAGTGGAGTAAACAGAATTTTTCTAAAATCAGAGGGGGGTAATTTATTTAGCGCACTCAAGGGGGGTAATACGGACCCTGCGGACCCTCATCAGAAGCTATGTTTATCCTTTATAAATTCAATAGTTTGATTAAAATCATAATGTTCAGCATATTTATTGAATTTAGTCACCATGTTATTTAGTGGGTCTTTGGAATTAGTTTCGATTAGTAAATTTTTATTTCTAGTATATCTATTTGGAATTCTAAAATTTAGCAACTTGATCAAATTAGATGAAGAGACGGTAGCCTTTATCAATGAGAAAATAAATAATATTTGTGAGATTGATCGCCTATCTTCTAAAGTATTCATGTGAAAAAATAGCAGTCTATGTCTATATGGAGGTAATTCATAACGATGTGGCCACTTGAACTTGCGTAGCGCAAATTTTAAAAATTGTTTCTGAATTATTAATATATTGTAAATTTGTATGCCAAAATGTGGGTAAAAACAAATAAAAATCGAAATACATTTGAGCAATGCAATACTACGCATGACAGGTGCGTGCAGAAAAGTACAGCTTAAGGAAGTTTCGATGCACTGTAAACAGTATTCAATAGGATATTTTGTATCAGTTACAACGTTTGAAATAAGTTTTTTAAAATAACGGAACGATTCGAAGCTTTTATTGAAGATCGAATTTAAACTTTGTATTACAATACAAATTTTATTTTATTTCGTTTGTTTTTTTTTCTTCTCTTTTCTATGCTGACTATGTCCTCCTGTATCATGTCGAATAAACACACCGGAATTGGATTGAATAATCGCAAAATCGCTCCAACGAAACGATGAATTGTATGTTGCCTTTATATGAATGATTCACACATCGTATTCCTCATCCAATACAACCGTGATCTCGGCTGACTACATGCTCCATTAATATGGTGAATGTGCACCGATTCGGGTTCTGACATACATTGCGTGCGATGAATGCGTTGGCGTTAATCCATTCGAATGGATTTGCTTCAAATCTCCCTATCTCACCTCTCCTCAACTCTCGCGCTCTTCAATCCCGATGATATGAATCCAATTGACCACACCAGACTGCGTCAGGAGAGTGAATTATTGTCAAGATCATCTTCACAACATTGGTCGCAGTCCGATTTGCAATTGTACGCCTCCACAACGAACATAGCGACCGATAATGATGCAGCGCCAGTGCATTGTCCGGACAGCATATCATCGACGGAAACATTAAAATGGTTAGGTTCAATGAGCGACATATCTACATCGAGTCATACAACAAATACTTCGCATATTTCGGTTTCAGGTAACTATTATCACTCGTCATCACATCAACATTTCTGCATTGAATTGGTGAGGAAAAAAACAAGGCACAAACTCACTGTATACAGTCGTATCACAAAATTATTCGTACATCTATAAATTGTCTGTCGTCCATTTCAAAGAAATCCGGTCGCATAATATGGTGATCTTGATTCTTCATGAATCCCAGCGCGTACGCAAAGTTTGAAGAGGTCGAAGGGTTTTTTTTTTCTTGAGTGTCTTTATATATTGTAGAATGTGCCTTGTTTTCGTCCCCACCAATTCAATTACAGATATAATACTTGTTACTTTGTTTGCTTCAACTTCCATCCACAACGGGACTATAGTTGTTCGCTTGTTGTTCACAATTTCATTTCAATTTTTTTCATTCCCCAAGTAATTTTAATTACACAGATGTAGGAATATATGTACATATGACACATTGACAAAATTCCACTGGTAGTGTATCTAAGCGTCTGACAGCTCACTTCTGGCGCTGTGAGACAAGTGTCAAAAGTTGTGACTCAGATCGTTGAATTTTAGCCGCAAACTATTGAATTTTTTTCATATTCAATAATAAAGAAGACAAAAAAATGTCACGAATGTGCAAAATTGATTTTTCTTAGAGCGATGTAAGCAGGTGATAAAAATCAATTTTATGAGTAAATTTTTTTTCTTCATTACGGAACATTGTTGATGAGTTCATTCAGTCGCGTGCATGAGTGCGTCTAACGACGTGCACAAATTGAAATAAACTTCACTGAATGGGCTCATCGCAAATTCGTATTTTACTTTGTTTTGTTAATGCTATGGCATAGTCTGCGCAAAATGCTCATTCCAACCGTTGCCGGGTATCATGTTGTTGTTGCCAATAAATGAATGAATAACGATATGATTTTTTCTTCGGATTTGTCATAATATCCATTTTTCATTCGAAAGAAATTTTAAATTTCATTTACTCCAAATCTTAAATCAAAACCACGTCCATAATAGTTGCAGCCTTGATGCAGTTCTTCACGACTTGACCTTATCAACATTAACATTTCATAACAATAAAGGACACGAATCATATCACATAGGAACACATAAGTGACATTGTTTACGAGGCAACAACTGAACACACAACAATCAAAGTGTATGAAAACGAAATCTGTAAATTCAACCGAACGGAGGTTAGAGCAAACGATGCTTTTTGTGAAGACAACTAAGTAGATATGTGCATTCTTGCCATTTGTTTCATTGTTAAAATCTAGCTGACCTTTCAGTGCATCCGCGTTTTTTTTTGGTTCTATTCTATAAAAAAATAGAAATAATAATGGACTTCACACATTCTATGATATGGATTGTTGTTGGCGAAGCGAAAGTAATATTTAGCTCATCATTTAATGTCTAAATAGCACATAGGTATTCGAGACTTTTTCATTTTTTTGAAATTGATGGTGATTCAATTGCGTTGTTAGTTGGATGGAAAATATCACGTCCATTGTAAATGCCCATCAAAACATGCATGGGAGCATGCACATGCACATGCATCTATGCAGCTATATAGAATATATATCTTCTCTCTCTCTCTCTCACTCCAAATGTCTCTCTGTCTCTTCTATTTTGTTTCCTTCTCCATTTTATGCATAAAACACATGCACACAGTAACACGGTCAAGTAACATACATTCGAAGACCCAAGAAAAGAATTTACTGCCAACACGTTTTAAAAACTCATAAAAGATACTGCAAAAGAAGAGACGTAGAGGAAAAATAGACATATGTTCTACATAAACGACACAAAGATAAATTTGCCTGTAGGTGGAAGCGCGAGCTAGCAACTGGATATGAGTCTGGTTTCTTCTTAATTCTTTCTTTGATACGTTTATTCATTGGCGTTCAATTCTTTGCGGTTAGCATTCATTTTGAAAATGCTTCTGAAATGTAAATGATTACGTTCAATGAAATTGAAGCCAGAAAATAAGAAGAGACACATAAATCCATCCAGAAAAACGTTTGAAAACATAACATTTCTGCACAATATTACTTATTAACACTGATTTAAAATTTGAATCATTTTCAAGTTATCATATTATATTTATTCAAAATTTGTGATATTATGACCAAACCAGCAAACCATACTCGTAGCGAGAGTCATATGGGAAACTAGCGCCATCTATTGACGTTCATCATAACCAATTATTGCTGTTTATCCATTCTATCAACAAGCGTATCATAAAAGGGATATTTTCGTGTGGAGAGAGTGCCATTGCTATCATACTGTGCAGCACACTTGAATCGTCACATGCAAAAATCATCACATTAAAACATTGTTGTTGTGAACGAATCCGGTATCGAATGCAGAAAAAAAATGCAGAAACCTAAAAACGCAGAAAAAAAATTTGCAGAAAAAAAATTGCAGAAAGAAAAAATGCAGAAAAACAAAATGCAGAAAACCAAAACCGCAGAAAAATTGAAAAAATACGATTTTTCCGAAAGTTTGTTGACCACAATAGATTTCGTCCGACGCGTGTTTTTTTAATCTGGCACATCAACCAAATAAGTGCCAGGCGATAGTTTAGGCCGCCCTGAATTCAGAATGGGCCATGGTTTTGGGTAAAGGTGCTTCTGCCGGGAGTTAATGACTATAGGCGTTCCCACATTTCAGGAAGAACGAATTTCTTGATGAAACTTAGTTTTTACACCAGTACTCCGGTAATTATTGATTTTTTACCTATCTATTCAAGAAGTAATTTGTTCAGACGATCACGCAGAAGCGATTCTGTACTCTCAAAGCTACAATATGTTTCAGAAAATGGGTTGAAATGGGTAAAATTCGTGGAAAATGGTCAAAATTAGTTACTGTAGTAACATTTACAACTTTTGAAATGTACGGTTCAACACATGAATGTCAG